CTGAACACCCCCAGTTCCCTCGGCCGCTCCCCATCAGACTTGTGCTCCAGACCCTCCCCAGCTCCGTCGCCCTTCTCTGGACACGCTCCAGCACCTCAACGTCCTTCTTGGAGTGAGGGGCCCAACTCTAAACACAGGATTTGAGGTGCGGCCTCACTGGGGCCGAGTCGAGGGGCACGATCCCTGCCCGGCTCCTGCTGGCCACACTAGTGCTGATAAAAGATATTACAAATTCATCCCAATTTTGCTACACTTATACCCAAATTTGTCTCTTCTGGTATCACCTGAGTAATCTCAGCCTTGTCCAGAATGAATGTTGCGGTTCCCTAGGCACTGTTAGTGTAGCAAGACTCATCTGTCTAGAAGGTCCCAGTCCCCTTTCCCTCACCTGGAGGGTTCAGCCCTCACTTGACCATTAGCAAAGCCCAGCCGCCCACACCGCACTGTCTGCATCTGCTGCCGCTTCCCTCAATGGTGTCCCACACATCCAGCAATCCCTCCTGGTACCTTCCATGGTTGAATTCAGGGAGCTTCACCTCCTGGTCAGGGATCAGTCTTCTGCTGGCAGCCATAACAACATCCTTGTTACAGAGACCTGCTAACGGTGCTTTTTTTCAGTCATTTTAGAAAAAGAACGCTGCAGGGTGCTGCACAGTGCATCCCTGCCTGCTTTTATAAGTGACAGCCACAAAGTCTCATCAAAAAACAAAGTTCCCCCTTAATATTGTACCCTAAAAATCTCTCTCCATTCACTCTGCTTAAATTAATACTGGGAAAACCTGGGCGTGCTGCCTGCATCAGGCAGAGCAAAGCACTAATGGCAGCAGAGTTCAGTGCCCTGAAGACCCTGGGGGATTCCTCCCCGCCTGGGCCCAGTGAGCAGCTGCTCCTCTGTTTGCGAGCGCAGCCTGCATGCAGATGGACAGACTGGAGAGGGTGGCAACATGGACAATAATTTAAAATACTTTAATGAGAAGACAGGAAAGACCAGAGTGATCAGGCACAGCCCAGCCAGAAAACGTACCCACGAGCTGCCTGCTCACACGTGGCTGGCCACCCTTCCCCCTTCACTCTGTTTTCCCGTGCTTCCTCCTTTATCCACTCTGATCCTTCCGTTTCCCTTGGCCTTTTCCCTGACGCCTCCCAGACAATCCCCGTTTCCCCAGCAGGCACTGCATACCGAGTTTTATACCCACTAATCCACCTCCATACGCCTTTCACAGCATTTCTTCTCTCAAACCACTTTCGTGTGTTTTGCTGCTGGGAAGAAGGTCCCGACTGTTCTCCCGAAGAGCTGCTGCCAACCATCTGCTGACAATCAGCTGTCTATCTGAATGACGATGGGCCAGATATCCTTACGTTGAGAGTAGCCGCCGAGCTCGAAGTTCTGGCATACGGAGTCCAACATGTGGTCGACAGTCCGCATCACTATTTTATATGCATCATGCAGTGATATGTAATTTGAATTAACGAGTTCATGTCCTTCGACTTTTTGCTTAGCATCAGGGCTCCGGATCAGCCGTGCCCTCTGCACCTTGCGGTGTATGGGGTGCGTCACTTCCCTCTTCACCTCCACAACTCCATTTGAGGGTGGGGGTGCAGCCACCGGTTCAAAAGACACCACAGGCATGCAAAGTGCGTCTGATGTCACCCCTTGGGAGGTACCCTCACTCTGAGGCTGCAGGGGCAGAGTCTCCTGCTTTGCAGAATGAAATGCCTCACACGTTCCCTTCGTGGGGTCGTCTTCTGCCTTAGCGGGAGGGACAACGGATTCAGAAAGATGGCTGGTGCTAGAGGAACTCCGAGGAAAGTCCAACCTCTTGTTGGCGCAAGGCTTGTAATGCCACAGTGTTCGCTTGGCTTTCCTGATGATTCGCCCTGTTTGGGAATTTCGCTTTGCCAGCCTGTGAAGCACAGCCCGATCCTTACCAGTAAGGCCAACAATTTTATTAACTCTGCCCTGAAAACAAATCCTCTGCATGTTACAGTATTCGTGGTCTTTAAGCACTGAGACACCAACCTTGCGGTTCCTGCAGTAGTCGTGTTCTCTCAGGGGACACTGATGTGGGGTGCAACTTAAGAGCCGTGCCTCACTCATCACACAGTAACAGTGATCTTTCAAAATAGTCTCATTCAGATCCTCGACAGTCAGTTCCCTACTTCCCTGGAGAAATGTCACTTCTCCCAAGATACATCGACTTTTTTGGGCACTCCTTTGAAATCTCTCCCTGTGGTCACCACGCAGACGCTCCTGAGGATGTGCCTTTTTGTTCTGCTGTTCCATCACTGGATGAAGCAAGAATCTTCTGCTTTGGGTTACGTTTGCCTCGACCTCTTGTTTATCCTCTACTTGTCTTTCCTTCGCAGGCAAGAAGACTGTCCGTGCCTGGTCTTGGCTTTCCACTGGCCCCACTCCTCTGCCAGACGCCTCTGCCGGCAACTCACTCCTACCCCCAAGACGCGTGAACTTGTTCAGCAGTCTTCTAGACCGGAGCCGCCACTGTATGCACCGACCTGCTGAGAGAGGGCTGGGAATAGTTTGTTGTCTTTCTGGCTGGGGCATTGTGATGAGACAGGGAGAGGGGGGACCCTGCCGAAAGAACGGGGGAGACGCTGACATAAGAAGAACCCATTCTCCCCAGTTCAGGGGGCTGAATGCCTGGGCTTCATGTCCCTGACCTCTGCCTGGATGGGCAGGAGAGTCAAGCCCTTCCCAGGGATACTGCCTGCACAGGGGCGGGAAAAGCCCCAGCAGTGATGACCGGGTGCAGCACAGGTGGCTGGGGACAGGGATGGAGCTGGAGGCCACCTCGGGACCAGAGGTGAGGAAGAGGGGAGGACCAGGACTCACCTTGGCAGGGGGTCTGTGTCCTCTCCTCCAGCGCACGGCACCTGCCAGCACCAGACCACCAGCCTGAGGCTGGCTCACCCAGCCAGCTCATGTCCCCATCATGTCCTGCAGGGAAACCAGACGGATGTCACCTTCCTGGCAGGGGAAGCCCTTCTGTTCCACAGCCATGGGGCCGGAGGAGGAAGCCCTGTCTGCTGCCAGCAGCCAGAAAGACACAACCCTGCTCACAGGTGACTGAATAGGGGGAATTCTCCATGGGTCGAGGGGGACGAGCAGCAGCAGATCAGCAATGTCTCTGCAGAGCTGCAGCCTTTGCACAGGGAGACAGGCAGCCGACGTCTCCCTTTGCCACTGCTGCTGCCCTGTGCGGGGAGTGCTGCAGGGTCAGGGGGAAACTGGGGAGATGCCTCAAAAGAGGCAGCGAGGAGGGGAGGGATTTGGTCAAGAGGGCAAGTAAGAACCCCGGAGATACGCTGGTCAAAGCTAAAGAGAAGAGAAGCTTGGGCCGGCTTTTGGAACGTACCACCACACCTTGTCGAGGTAAGCGGTACTAAGGGGGTTGGACTGTTCCTGCTCACCTGGAGAGGGGCTGTCAGGTCCATCCCATTTCACTGGGCTCTGCGGTGTGCAGACCCATGGCTCTTCCCCATGCTCCATCCGGTATAAAATGTCAGGTTTGGGGCCTGGGTAACCTGGGGGGTGGAGCAGAGGGTCTTGCTCTAACACAAACTGTAGGAATAGTTAACACAAGAAAATAAAGGTCTTCTCTGCACCCCAAGCTGCACTTCACCGTGACTCAAACAGCACAAGCAGAAACAACACCATAATATGGAAAAAAAGCAAGAGAGATACCGAAGCTGCTGCCAGTGATGAATTCTTGCACAAGGACAAGGGCAGAGCCCTGACTGGAGTAGGGGAACCAACTCGCAACACTGCTGACAGCGTTTCCCAGTGAGGTATTATCTACTGCTCATCCTAGGAGCAGCTCCTGGGTGTAGGACGTCCCCTCAGGTAATCGGAGATCTCCATCCTGTCCTGGTGGCAGTGGGCAAGTCCTCTGAAGGCACCTTGCTGGTTCAGGAAACTTTGCTGTCCTCTGATGGGTCTGCTCCCCACCTTGCCCAATACTCCTGCCCTGCTGCAGCTTGAGTGCCCAGGGGAGGGAACAGAGTCATTGGCCCATGGCCAGGACCCCCTGAAAGGTCCCTGCCTGACCTCAGGGCAGGCAACTCACCCACAGTTACGTTTTCAGAGGGGGCCATCAGCTCAGAGAGACCCAAATCCTGTGTTTGGGTCTCCCAAAGAGACTGCAGGTGCTCAGAGCAGTTATCCCAACTCTGCAGCCATAGTTCAAAACACACCGATCATCTCCTTAAAGCACTGGAAGCAGCACAGTTCTGATGGATTCCAATATGATGGAAGCCCCCCCACCCCTGCTGTGCCCCTTCCCCAGCGTTAAAACTGCAGGTTTACCCAGAGATGTCAAGAGCTGGTAGTTGTCCAGCATGACGCTGCGGTATAGCTCCCTCTGCCCCGCCGCAATGGTGTCCCACTCTGCACGGCTCAGATAGATAGCGATGTCCTCGAAGGTCACTGGTTCCTGCCACACAAGCATTGTACCTTCATTCATGCGTGGAGGCCCACAGCCATGGGGAAGAAGGGTTTCCTATAGGTTTTATTTTCCAGGTGCTATTTCTACCCCTGGGAGAACTACCAAAAACACGAGATTTAGAGCGGCGATGGACAGTACTTCCCCAGGAGGCTGTGTACCCTGGGGGTGAATTATGGTTCTTCAAAGAACCACATCTCAGCAAGACATTTTGCCTGTAGCTCAGGCCTATTGTCAGGGCCGCCCACGGTGACCCTGCACAGCCCATCCCACCAATGCCCTAGGGATGGCTGCCATCGGGCAGGTAGGAAGGTTTCTGGTTTCTCATGGCTACATGACTGTTGAAAGGAAGGTATGGCACAGATGGTCAGAGGGAAGCAGTGTCACTGGGGGTGGGGGGGAGCAATGCAGAGGGTTGGAGTGGGGCAATAGCACGGCGGAGTGGAAGGGGGCAATGTTGTGAAGGAGCTGGGGGGAAAAA